CAATCCTAAACAACAACAACAAAAAAGTTGGAGACATCACAATACCAGATTTTAAGACATACTGCAAGGCACTTATAATCAAAACAACATGATACTAACACAAAAATAGACATGTAGACCAATGCAACAGAATAGAAACTCCAGACATCAACCCATGCATCTGCAACCAACTACTTTTTGATAAAGGAGCTGAAATCAATCTCGAGAAAGAACAGTCTCTTCAACAAATGGTGCTGGGAAAATTGGATCTCCACTTGCAGCAGCATGAAGCAAGACTCCTACCTTAAACTTTATACAAAAATCATCTCAAAATAGATAAAAATCTATGACCTGATACCATCAAATTACTAGAGTAGAACATTGGGGAAACTCTGCAAGACATTGACATAGGCAAAGACTTTTTGGAAAAGACCCCAGAAGCACAGGCAATCAATAGCAAAATAGTCAAATGGGATTACATAAAGCTAAGAAGCTTCTGTACAGCAAAGGAAACACTCAACAAAGTGAAGAGGAAACTGATAGAATGGGAGAATATATTTGCAAAATATGCAACTCATAAAGGATTAATATGCAGAATCTATAAAGAGCTCAGGAAACTCAACAACAAAACAAGCAATCCAGTTAAGAAATGGGCAAAGGACAAACAAAACTCAAAAGTAATAGAAGAAAAGAAATAAAAATTAGAGAAGTAAAATAGAAATATAACAAAAAATAGAAAAGATTAATGAAATGAATAGTTGGTTTTCTGAAAAGACAAGTGGAATTGATAAACCATTAGCCAAATTATGAAAAAGAGAGGAAGGAATCAAATCAATAGAAAGAGAATTAAAAAAGAAATATTAAAATGAATACTGCAGAAATACCAAGAATTTTTGGGAGCTATTTTTTAAAAAGAGATTTAATTTATTTGGAAGTCAGAGTTACAGAGTGACAAGGGAAGATAGAGAGAGAAATCTCCTATCTGCTGGTTCAATCCCACAGTGGCTGCAATCCTTACGTGATGAAAAGCTGCAGAAGGGGTGGGGTCGAATAATGCTGCATGAAACTCTTTCATAAGAGCCTTAATCTCAGTTATGGGAGAGAAGGTTTTATGGTTTAATCACCTCTTAAATGCCCGATTTAAATATTTTTAACAGAGAGATAGAGAGAGAAAGAAAGAGAGGGAGAGAGATCTTTCATCCTCTGGTTCACTCCTCAAATACCTGAAATATATGAGCCAGGATGAACCTGCAACTCAATCTAGATCTCCCACATGGGTGGCAGGGACCCATGTACTTGAGGTATAACCTGATGTATCCCAGGGTGAACATAGAAGAAAGCTGGAGGCCGGCGCCACGGCTCAATAGGCTAATCCTCTGCCTGGGCGCCGGCACACCGGGTTCCAGTCCCGGTTGGGCGCTGGATTCTGTCCTGGTTGCCCCTCTTCCAGGCCAGCTCTCTGCTGTGGCCTGGGAGTGCAGTGGAGGATGGCCCAAGTGCTTGGGCCCCGCACCCCATGGGAGACCAGGAGAAGCACCTGGCTCCTGCCTTTGGATCAGCGCAGTGTGCCAGCCGCAGCATGCCGGCCGCGGCGGCCATTGGAGGGTGAACCAATGGCAAAAGGAAGACCTTTCTCTCTGTCTCTCTCTCTCACTGTCCACTCTGCCTGTCAAAAAAAAAAAAAAAAAAAAAAAAAAAAGAAGAAGAAGAAAACTGGAATCAGAAGTGGACTCAAACTCAGGCACTTCAATAGAAGATATGGGAATCCCAAGGTGGCCTCTTAACCACTGCACCAAACATCTTCCCTTCAACTCTTAACATTTTAATATTGGACTTTTGGAAGAGTCATAATCAAACATAGCAACCTCACATCTGTTAGAACATCTATTTCCAAAAAAATGAGAGACTGGGAGGGCATTTGGCACAGTGATTAAGATGCTGCTTGGGACTCCACATACCATATTGGAATGACTGGGTGTGAGTCCCCACTGTGCTTCCAATTCCAGCTTCCTGTACATGTGTGCTCTGGGAGGCAGCGAGTAATAACTCAAGTGTTTGGGTCCTGAGTTCATGACTTTGGTTTTACATGATGCCAACCATTGTGGGCTTTTGAGGAGTGACTCAGTTGATTGATCTCTCTGTATCGCTCTCTTTTAAATAAAAAATATTTTCTTTTTAAAGATTAGAGATAAAATATGTTGCAGAAGATGTGAGGAAAGACAACACTGGAATACTCTTGTTGGGAATGTAAATTATAGTGTGGAAAACAGTAAATGTTTCTCAAAAACGTGAAAATAGTTGTAGGCATTTGGAGAGGAATCAGTAGATGGAAAATCCATCTCCATGTCTCCACCACTCCCCCGCCTTTCAAATAAATATAAAACTTTAAAAACAGAAAACATGGTGTATATTCAAAATATAATATTATTTAGTTTTTAAAAAGAAGGAAATCCTATTGTTTGTAGCCACATGTATGAGCTCGGAGAACATGTGTTAAGTGAAATAAGCCAGCATAAAAATACAAATACCGCATGATCTCATCTTATAGTAGCAAGAGTAGAATTGTGGTTACCAGAGGCTGTGTGGATGTGGTGGGGATGATGATCAAAGGACTCAAAATTTTGGTCAGATAGGGAAAATAAGATAAGTGGATGTGTTGTACAATATGGTGGCTGCACTGATCTGAAATCAGGAGCCAAGTGCTTCCTCCTGGTCTCCCATGCAGGTACAGGGCCCAAGCACTTGGGCCATCCTCCACTGCCTTCCCAGGCCACAGCAGAGAGCTGGACTGGAAGAGGAGCAACACAGGACAGAATCTGGTACCCCAACCAGGACTAGAACCCGGGGTATCGGCACTGCAGGCAGAGGATTAGCCAAGTGAGCCACAGTGCTGGGCAGCACATTCTTGAAAATTGCTAAGATAGTAGATTTTAAGTGTTCTCACCACAAAAATGTATATGAGGTAATCCACATTTTAATTAGTTTGATTTAGCCATTCCAAAGTATATATTTTTCAAAACAATATATTGTACATATTTGATCACCCATATTATTTGATCTGTCAATTAAAAATAAATTAATTTTTAAAATATATACCATAGAGTTCTGAAACTCAGTTCTCCAACAGCTTATTATATTTTTTAGTTCTAAGTTTTCCTCTAGGTTCTTCTTTGTATTTTCTATTTCTTTGCCAAAACTATCCATTTATTCATTGGTTTCAAGTGTATTTACAATTTCTTCTCTCTCTTTGGGAAAAATGTTTATTTATTTATTTATGTGAGAGGCAAATAAATCAGGGGTTGAATCTGGGAATGCAATCCAAGGCTCTCACTTGGTTGACAGTAACCAATTACTTGAGCTATCACCACTGTCTTCCAGGGTGTACATCAGCAGGAACCTGGAATCAGGATCTAGAGCTGGGGATCCATCCTAGATACTCCATCATGGGACTGGGTGATCTAACCAGTGTCTTTTAAGTGCTAGGCCAAAGGCCCACCCCTCCTGTGTGTTATCAATTTTTCATCACCATAGCAAAAAATCCAAGGAAACTAACTTTGTACAGTGGGAAGGCTTATTGGGCTTACATTTCTGGAGGTTCAGACCCAAGATTGGTTTGTTCCATTGGTTTGTCCTCTGATAAGGGTGGCAAACACGTTGGCAGGGTGCTTGTGGAAGAAGGACCCTACAGAGAGCCGAAAGCAGAAAGAGAGCAGGTGAGTCTGACTTAGGCTTTTCTAAACAATCCTTTCAGGAGGACTTCCTTCTGGGGGCAAGTCACCAACGGCCTAAAGTCTTTGCCCAAAAGCTATCTTCTAATCACCACAACTGGGTCAATTTTCTATCTCATTAGCGCCAGCAAGCTGTAGCTCTGGGGTTTAAACATTTGCATTGGTTTTGGAGCCATGCCATGTTCAAACTAGCACTCAGGGACTCACCAGCGTCCAGCCCTCTGGTTCTGAGATCTCTAGCCATGCTGCCTTCTTTTCCCCATGTTTCAATGCCTTCTTATGGTTATTAATAAATTATGTCCAGAGATGTTTGTCTGACTTACCAGGAGCAATAGGAAGAAATGCATCTACTCCTTCCTGTCTAGAACTGAAAGCCTCACTTTCATGTGCTAAGAATAATATCAAAACAACACAGTAGCTGGACTACTCTCTCTCTAAGGCCAATGTCTTGATCAATGTAAGTTATTGATGTAAGATGATGAAGGTGGAGGAGTTGGGGAGAGAAAATTTGTCTATTTGTAGTGTGACTCAGTAGGAAAGCTGCCTTCATTTTTTCACGTAGCAGGGGTTTTGCTTAGAGTAAGTCAATAAATTAGCATTCACTTAGAACTGGCAAAACCTGACTATTAAACAGGGTCTGGATGGTCCTTGACTAGACCCATGTTCTACATCTCTGCTGAGGGTTACATGATGAACGCATCCCTCGGGGTAACTGTAGCGCTTCCTTGTTAATTGGAAAGTTTCTTGTGTTTTCTCACGACCTCTCTGGAACCCAAATGACACCGCATTCATTTATGCTGTATCAGAGGACAGTTACCCTACTTCCTCCTGTCCCTACGGGTGCCTAGCAAAGCGCTTACGTGCTGTAGAGGCTCACACACCTCGAATAGCATTATTCTTCCTCCTGAGTCTGATGGCATCACCTACTGCTCCAACCAGATGTGCAAAGCAGGCACATCCAGTGCAGCCCGCCTTAAGCAATCTCCGAGTTCACTGAGGAGCCCCACAGTGGCTAGCAATCCCGCTGGGGGCTGCATACGGGAGTCTTTTCCCGGGATTTTTGCATTTGGGGACCACTTCAGGATTGAAAGCCACAGACCAGCGTCTTGAAGTCTTTGGTCGAGGCTGGCCACAAGCTGTCCTCCCCTGCTGACTCCCATTCATCCACTCACCCTTCCTCCAGGGAATATGCATGGGATGCTTTTAAGTGAGGATGAGTGAATGGAAGCATGGGCAGGAATACAGCAGGAGGCTTGAATTTGGAAGCCACAAAGACTGCTCGAGACTCAGAGATTCCCATGAATTGCAATTTTATTGACTGCTGAGGCACTGAGGTCGGGAGGTAGTTGTACAGAAACCAAGGAGGAAAACCGCAGAACAAGATGCAGCCTGAGCTTTCAGCGGCTTCTTCCAGGTGAGTCGGACTTCAAGGAGTTGGAAACTTTGTGCAATATCATGAGAGCGCTAAGCCCACGGGCGCCCACGGAGAACACCGGCAGCTCCTCCGTCTCCGTGGTAACCCGGGGGCCTTATTTGCATGGCCAGGTAGGCGCCTGCTTCTGCTGGGTCTGGTGGCACACCGGGACGCCCTTGCCGCCCCCGGAGGAGCCGCCCCCGCAGCCGGAGCTGCCCCCGGAGGAGCCGCCCCCGGAGGAGCCGCCCCCGCAGCCGGAGCTGCCCCCGGAGGAGCCGCCCCCGCAGCCGGAGCTGCCCCCGGAGGAGCCACAGCCGCCGCCGCCCCCACCGCTGGAGAAACAGCAGCCGCCGCCGCCGCCGCCGCCGCCGCTGCTGCCCCCGGACGAGCCGCCGCAGCCGGACGACTCCCCGCCATAGCTCTGCTGGGGCGCGCACGAGCTCTGGGTGGAATGCTGCGAGAAGTAGCCCGAGCCGCCGCCGCCGCCGGAGGAGCCGCCGCCGCCGCCGCAGCTGGAACCGCCGCCGCTGGAGCCACCGCCACAGCTGGAGCCGCCGCTAGAGCCGCCGCCGTAGCTTTGGCACTGGTACAGCTGGCCGCCGCCGCCACCGCCCGAGGAGCCGCCGCCGCAGCTGGAGCCGCCGCCGCTAGAGCCGCCGCCGTAGCTGGAGCCGCCGCCGCTAGAGCCACCGCCGCAGCTGGAGCCGCCGCCGCTAGAGCCGCCGCCGTAGCTGTGGCACTGGTACAGCTGGCCGCCGCCGCTGGAGCCGCCCCCACTAGAGCCACCGCCGCAGCTGGAGCCGCCGCCGCTAGAGCCGCCGCCGTAGCTGGAGCCGCCGCCGCTAGAGCCACCGCCGCAGCTGGAGCCGCCGCCGCTAGAGCCGCCGCCGTAGCTGTGGCACTGGTACAGCTGGCCGCCGCCGCTGGAGCCGCCCCCGCTAGAGCCACCGCCGCAGCTGGAGCCGCCGCCGCTAGAGCCGCCGCCGTAACTGTGGCAGTGGTACAGCTGGCCGCCGCCGCCGCCTCCCGAAGAGCCACCGCCGCAGCTGGAGCCGCCGCCGCCCCCGGAGGAGCCGCCTCCGCAGCTGGAGCCGCCGCCGCCACAGCTGGAGTAGCAGCCGCCGCCCCCGGAAGAGCCGCCGCCGCCGCCGGAGTACTTGACGCCGCCACCAGAGCCTCCGCCGCAGCTTCCGGAGCTGCCACCGCCGGAGTGGCCGCCGCAGCAAATGTGGCTGTGGCTGTGGCCGCCGCCGCCGCCGCCGCCGCCGCCGGAGTGGCCGCCGCAGCAAATGTGGCTGTGGCTGTGGCCGCCGCCGCCGCCGCCACCGCCTCCGGAGTGCTTGACACCGCCGCCGCCGCTGCTGCCGCCGTAGCTGGAGCCGCCGCCTCCACCGCCGCCGCCGCCGCAGCTGGAGCCGCCACCGCCGCTATAGAAGCCGCAGCCACCGCCGCCGCCGCCGCCGCCGCCGCCGCCGCCAGAGGTCTTCCCGCAACTCACGGGCGGGTAGGGAGTGGGCTGCTTTTTCTGATGAGACATCTTGTTGAACAGGAAGGGGACCCTGGAAGAAGAGCAAAGAGCATCCCTGGACCAGCTGCAGGAGGATGCTGCTTCCATGGCAACAGCCGCGCGCTCCTGGTAGCCTGTCTGGACCAGGCCCGAGCTCTGCTCCGGTCGTACTAGGTCAGCCTGGACCCCTGCATGGCCGCTTTTGGAAAAGAACCAACACCCGCTCCCAAGCCCCAAATCCTTCACTAAGCTTTAAACAGGCTAACCAATGGTGCTTATCCTCTCTTCCAGCTCTGCCACTGACCTGCCCTGTGATTTGGGGGCTAGATCGACACCCACACTCCCATCTCTTTCTCATTGCTTGTAAAGTACAAAGTTTTGAACTCATCATCGCTCAGGTCCCTTCCAGTTCCAACACTGATTCCCTGAGTGCAACTAGAAAATTACCACGAATCTCTGCCCAGGAGGGGTTATTTCACTTCTTCCCAGCACAGCGGAGGGAGGCTTGTGGGAACGCCAGAAGGCTGTTGGAATTCTTTCTGTGCGAAAGCTCTTAGCTCAAACCTTTGGTCTGTTCCGCTGAGGAGACTGTGAACCAAGGGCTACTTTATTAGAACAGGCAGGCCCGGGAAGCAGGGGTAGGGTCCTGATGGTTCCTTGGACCAGTCTCTGATATCAACTATCTCTTATGATTTGCTTAAGCCCAAGCTTGGTAGAGGGGACGGTAGCTATTAAGAAGGCAGATCCCAGCATCTTGCACTTCCCTTTTAGAACACCAGCCTTTGTAAAACAGGAACTGGGTTTCTGTGGCCCCTGAAGTCTCTCCCATCTGCAACCTTCTCTGAACCATCTCCCTGTTCCCTGAGAATGGGCTCAGCCTCTCCCCGTAACAGGCTCATGAGGGACATTCAGCTCTTGCAAAGGCTGCCTTGTATCGCATCTGCAGAATCCCCCTGCCCAGCTCCACGCCTACTCCTGCAGAGGTGGCAGAGAGGCAGGAGATGGTCTGGGCTTTGTGGAGTTTCCATTCTCACCAGAAGACCAGAATCACCACGCATGCATGGCAGCAGGCCAGCCACCCCTCAGCCCTCTCCTGAATCCATCTCAACATGAGTGCATTTGGGAAGGCAGAGGTCCCGTGGCTCCTGAAGGGGATGGAGGCCTTGGTCCGCTCACGTGGGCTGGCCCGGGCAAGCTCAGCGGGGGAGATGAGAGAGCCAGAGGGAGCCACACTTACCCGAAGCACCAGGAAGAATGAGTGAGGAGAGATGCTGGTGTTGTGAGGAGCCCTGCACTGCTGAGGTTTTATACTCTTCTCCAGAGCTGACTCATCTATTGATCCGGGCCGACTTCGTGTTTGGCCTCGGTGACATGCCCCACCTCCCTGTGATTGCAGCCATGGGGAGGCCCATGCATGGAGATCTTCGCATTCTTGAGATGGACTGCCCCTGTGACTGGACGACTGCTGATGCAACTGCATGGCCGCTTGTCAGTGGAACAGCCCTCCGGAGTGGAGGGCAGACATTGCTTCCAAAACCTGCGGCGTGCGGCGCATGCCATGACCAGAGGGTTGCATTTGAGGAACAGGTTCCAGACTCCTGAGACAGCCTAACCAAGGGTCAAACTGGAGGGCTCAATCTCCACATTTCAAATTCCTTTCAGATTCTGCTGTCTGACCCATTGCTTTGGGAACACCCAGAACGTCAGAATCCAGCCTTCTTCTACTGCGATTTCTCTCCTAGGCTTTCGTATGGACTTTGTGGGAGTGTTTTCGTCCTGCCCGCTGGGTTGTGAGGGTGCAGGAGGTCCCAGCTCCCAGTTCCAGATTGCACATCATGGACAACACTGTAACTAAGGGGACTTTGATGGCCACTTCAGTGTGTTCCTGGGGATAGGAGGTGTCTGGGAAAGCTGGTGGTCAGCACCGGCTTTCCTTGCAGAAGAACAGACTAAAGAGGTGGACACTTTGGTTCCCTCCACCACCGCCCTTTGGTTCTGTTGTCCTTTGGTGTTGTATGGCAACGCTGACCTCAGCCTGAGGGGGCAGCCGAGGAATGGAATGGTAGCTGGGTTTGGACACTCCCTCTGCTTCTTGCTTACTGTGTCACTGGGGCCAAGTCATAGCACTTCATGCAAAGCCTGCATGTCAGAGGCACACAGGAAGCATCTTCTGACTGGTGAACGATCGAGCTTTCTGATCTCAGCTACCTTGCCCATACATAGGAGTGGTAGTACTGTTTCATGGGTATGTGAAGAGGAAATATTTACACAAAGTGTATGAGGTGCTGCTGTCCTTTTTGTTTTCTCATATAACAGCACACCCTTATTTTCGGACTGGCATGCCCTTGACTACCAAGGCCAGAGGAGTCCAAGGTTGGCTTGAGACGAGCTGCACTCTTCCAGTGGAGTAACTCACAACTCACTGGGGCTGGCGTTGGACCTAGCAGCGAAGATGCTGCTTGGGATGCCTGTGTTCCTGTTGGAGTGTCTGGGTTTCAGTCTTGGCTCTGCTTCCCATTCGAGCTCCTGATAATGTGCACACTAGCAGGCAGTAGGTGTTGATGCAAGTGGTCCCTTACCACCCACGTGGGAGACCCAGATTGAGTTCTGGGCTCCTGGCTTTGGCTTGGCCAAGCCTCGGCTGTTGCGGACATTTGGCGATTGAACCAGTGAATGGGCGATTTCCCTCTCTTTCTTTCTCAAAGAAAACCAGATTTTTTTTTTTTTAGACTTCTAAGATAAACAGTTTTAATGTCAGGTCATAATAGTCAAAACCAAAGAGGAAGAAATAACTTACAAGAGATGTCTAGAAATGTGACAAAGAAAATCACCAATTAAGTAGATACTACTAAAAGGAGAAACTGTATTAAAAACAGATTTCAAAGTGAAACGTTGACTTATTACAAATATATATATATATACACACTTTAAATAACCTTATTTCTTTAGCATAGTGACCACATCCATAGTTCTATGTCTCTGTACTTTCATAACATTGCTCAATTTTGAGAAATTCATAGAAATAATTTTCTTCTAATCTCAGCCAAGGTAGTTTCACACAAAATTATCTGCTGCAAGCCTTCTGTAATGTTCTTATATTCCCTAAGTTATTTGTTCTGTTTTGTTCCTCTCTCTCCTTACCAAACACCAGTTTTATTTCATGTCAGGACAAATATCACTTGCTTTCTTTGTTATTCAAAACACATCTTGTGTGCTGAGACACATTCTCAATCTCTTCTTTATAGTTTCCTTAATATTTCTCTCTCCCCTCTCTATTGGTTCCTTAATTTGCATTTTGAAATAATCCTAAAATCTTCTAAAATAAGAACAAAGCATTTTAATAAAAAGCATATAGAATTTTAAATTATTTTAAGGTAGTCTAAAATGGTTTGTCTTATATCAATAATTTATGTAAACAAAAAAGTCCATTGTCTTTTACAGTTTTTCAAAAGCAAGCAGTACAAACGTTTGAAAACATTTCTTCTGTGTTTACCAATTTATTGTTAACAATTACAGATTTTTTAAGAAACTAAAATATTAGTCTAGTATGGTTATAATCTTGAGCATGTCTTGTCAAAGAACAACCCCAGAAGTTCAATTTTACTTCAAACAGGAATTAATGAACATTTTATTATACCACTAACTTGCATCATTTGTTCTTAGGTCAAAATTGCACTTTTATGACTTTGAGTAGCCAAAAAAAAAAAGTATAACTTTTGTTTGACCAGCAAATCCAGGCACAAAATATGTCGATGACTCTGAAAGTATTTTTAATTTGTATCTATCAACAAAGTTAAAACAACCTATCATATATTTACTTAGGTCACATGAATGATACTTTTTTAAAAAAAGAAAAATACAGCCCTATTGACCTTGGACCAACACCTCTCCCCATCATCTCTGAGTATTAAGAATAGTGTATCCCCCCTACTTCTTTCATCATTGGAACTCAGTTGCTATTGTTTCTGATAGCATGTTTGAATTCTGTTCCACCCATCTATGCCCAATAGAAAATTGACTGCTAATTATGGTGGCGTTTTAATGATCCCAATGATCCTGATTAGACTGTGGCCTTCAGAAACTGGTGGCACTAGTTTCAGTTTGGACATCGTTAACCCTTAGAGAGACACCCACATGGGAGAAGCCAGGATCTGTTGAAAAAGGAAGTTTTCTCACCTTGAAGCTGAGGGATCATGTGATTGCTTTGGGTATGCAAAAGAACCTTTTATTTAGTCAGACCACATCAGAGAAAGAGAGCAGGTGTGAACCATACCTCCTAGCACCGGGACCCATGATGGTTTGTAACTGTAGGTTCACCAGTCCTTAGGAAAAGTGTAACCAAAGGGTGTCAGCAGCGTGTTCTTGGGAAGGGGAGTCTTTAATCCTGAAACCATGGCTTTCCTACCCTTTTCATGTTCTAAAATGTAATTTCTTTGAAAGATGATGATGCAGGACTATAATTGTTCCTTTCATGTGTTTAAGTGATAAAATGAAAATTTGGCAATTATATAAAGGTACCACATTTTTGGGGGAGGATATTTCTTCTTTATAAAATTCTAAAATTTGGGAACCTCAAGTGCAGTTGACTTCAAATAGCTAATAATCTTCTGATTTTGAGGGTTCATGTTCTAAGAATAATATAGAATTTCTTTTTTCTTTTCTCTCCCTCCCTCCCTCCCTTCCTCCCATGAAGTCTAGCCCCCTAATTCTTTATTCATGAATCCAGCCCAATACAAGTGTACAGGGCAGTGTGCTGAGCTCAGAGCAGCCTTGGCAGACTTTGCACAGCTGTGCATAGTTCTCCTTGGTGGAGTCAGGAATGGGGCATGGTGCTGCTCCATGTCTCCTCTGCCACCCCATATAGCATCTGATAAGGAAAAAAACTCTCCCTGGCCCATCACTTTGCTAACACGTAGAAGTAGCTGCTGTGACATGATATGACAACAGTGCCGGATCCTGTGCTCTCAGCCCTGAGTTAACCTTGCCTGAGGAGTGATGGCATGAGCTCAGTTTTCTCTCTTTAGACAAGAAGCAATTCTAAGGGGGATATCTGTGTGGACAGCAATTGATTATTGTTTTCTTTATGTCAGGGAGGAGATGATGGGTGTTTGAAGGATTATGACACATACTTGTTTGGAGTTGTGTAAGACTTGACATGTCAGATGTTAAAGATTTATAGCCTTTAGACGCGTAACCCTGAAATGTGTTCTTGCTACTATAGCTGATTTCTGCAATGTGACAGATTAGGATATGGTTCCTGTCTATACTTGTATCCATAGAAGGAACAAGTCCTTAAAACAAATGCTTCCCAGTGCCCTGTATGGTTTTGGGCATTAATAGGAATTTGGTGAATTCCAGTGGAATCAAAGGGAACTCTTGGGACCTACTGACTAACAGCAGTTGAGAGCTGATTCCTTTGGATGTCTAGGAGTGGCGGGTTTCACTTTGAAAGTTCAGTTTAGAGCCAGCCGCTCTGTGCAGTGAACAGTCACAGTGCTGGGAACCCAGGGCCAGCTGTAGAGGTGACATTTGACTACTGGAAGTTCATCCTGCTCTGCCCTGGCTGTGCTCTATGTATTTGATAGGATGATATAGGATCTGTAAGCATATTTGTGTACATATATACATATGTGCTTTTGGTGCTTGTGTGTGTGTATGTTGTGTGTTAGAGAGAGAGAGAGAGAGCGCGCGCACGAAAGGTCCTCCATCCACTGGTTGATTCCCCAGATGACCATAGTGGCCAGGGCTGGACCAGACCAGAGCCAGGAGCCAGGAGCTTCATCTGGGTCTTCCACACGGGTGCAGGGGCCTAAGTACTTGGGCCATCTTCTGCTGATTTCCCAGGCACATTAGCAGGGAGCTGAATTGGAGCTGGAACAGCTGTTACTCGAACCAGTGCCCACAAGGGATGGCAGCACTGCAGATGGCAGCTTTACCAGCTGTGTCACAATGTCGGTTCTAGAGCGATCCTTTGAATGATGTGATAACCTGGGTTTTGAGGCTACCTCAGGGCTTACCCACAGTCACAGATAAGTCCTTTGGAGAAAACTCATCTTCTGATCCATAAATCACAAGAAAATGGCAACTCATTCTTCCAACTCCACAGCTTCTCTCATTTCTACCAGGGGCTCACATCTTCCTAACACAAGCGTTTTCTGAGCAGGAGGGGCAGAGGTGGAGAGGGTGGAGCAAGATACCCAGCAGTGTCACCAGCAGCTCCACTGCGCTGGAGGGGACTTTGCCGGGAGGAGCTGGGGAACCACTCCGAGAAGGAGGTTCCCTGAGGGAGGCACTGACCCGTCTGCCTGGGCTGCAGTCTGAGGGGAGACCACAGCACTTGCATTCAGGGAGT